TTAAAATCATATTTTCCTCTTTAAAAGCAACTGACACATCAAATTATATTAATATACTATTTTAATTACTGCTTATAATTATTGGCATAATATTGATTCAAATTATTACTATATCAAACTAATATTTCAAAAATATTTTCTAGTGATGTGTCTTACATTAAGGAAATTGGGTGTTGACAACTAGGAGTGGGTGAAACTCCTTGTAATCTTTGATAAGATTAATGAAATCCCTTAAGAGTTCGTAAAGGAGAGTTGGACGTAACCTAGGTTGAGTAAACTAATATAAAAATTGTGCTTTATTGTTTCATTCCTTAAAAGCTTTTATTAAGTTTTCTATTACATCATCTGAAGAATATCTTTAATTAGTAATCCTTTGAAAACTCATCAGACACCCTTTGCGAAAAGTTTCAGAAAACACTATTCACCCCCTTTCTAGTGTTTTCCTATGTATTTCAGGAGTCAAGGAGTCAATACAAAAAAAAATAAAACTTGGGAATTGGTTTATGCACCTAGTGGAGTGAAGTCCATTAGAATTAAGTGGGTTTTCAAGACAAAGTTCAAAGAAAATGACAAAGTAGACAAATTTAAAGCAAGATTAGTGGTGAAAGAATATGTTCAAGAATATGGAGTGGTAAAATAGGTGTTTGCCCCTATTTCCAAACTTGATACCGTTCGCATTATACTTGTTATGACAACCCATTATAGTTAGGAAGGTTTTTAGTTAGATGTGAAGAGTGTCTTCGTTCATGGTGAACTTAAATAAGATATTTATGTACAACAGACAACTAGTTTTATGAAGAAAGGAGAAGAAAACAAAGTTTACAAATTAAAAAAGGCATTATATAGCCTTAAACAGACTTCAAAAGCATGTTATAACATGATAGAAAACTACTTTCTCGTAATGGCTTTGAAAGGTGCATCTGTGAACATACTCTCTTCACAAAATCAAAGGAAGGAGAGTTAATGATGTTAGAATTGGTCATAAACTATTTAGGAAGAATGAAGTATTTGCTTTGAATAGAAGTTGTTCATAATTTAGAAGGTATTTTCATTTGTCAAAGAAAATTTACTCGTGAGATTTTAACAAGGTTTAGAATGAAGAATAGTAATGCAATAATAAGTCTTATTGTCTCAGGTACAAAACTATCAAAGAATGATGTAGGAGCCATAATTATTCAATCGTGCTCAAAGAACTTGTTGAGAGTCTTATGTACTTGACCACGACCTGTCTAGATATTATGTATGCAGTAAGTTTAATTAGAAGATTCATGTCTTGTCCTTCTGAGTCTCATTTGCTGGCAACAAAATGCATATTAAGATACTTAAAAGGTACTATCGAACTGGGCATCTCCTACAAGAAAAGGGGAAGAATTGATGTTGTAGCTTATTATGACAACAACTTTGCTAGAGACTTCGATGATCGTAGAAATACTTTTGGATATGTGTTTCTTCTTAGTTTTGGATTAGTTTTATGCTCCTCAAAGAAACCACACATAGTTACATTATCTACAATCGAGACTGAGTATATAATAGCCGCGTTTTGTGCTTGTCAATGTGTGTGGATTAAAAGAGTATTGGAAAAGCTTGAGCTTAAGAAGAAAAAGAGCACGCTAATTTTGTGTGACAACAGCTTAGTCATACAATTATCCAAGAATCCCATTTTTCATGGAAAAAGAAAACACATTGAAATAAGGTTTCCTTTTTTAAGAAGCTCGATGGAGGATGGAGTTGTCAAATCGAGTTATTACAAGTCAGAGGTTCAAGTTGCAGACATTATGACCAAGTCCCTCAAGCTAGATCAATTTTTAAGGCTTAGATATATGTTAGACATAATTAAAGCTTTAAATATAAACTAGATGTCATATCATATAGTTTAAGGGATGGAAGGTAGGTTACTTTAAAAAGATATTTTGTTTTATGAAGTTATTATTATGTTTTAGTATGTCAAATAAATTTATTAATTTGTTATTTATCAGGGATTAAACGTTTGGAGTCTAAGTCAACTAACAACTCATGAATTTAGGGTGTAATCGTGGTTGAAGCTAAACTTTGTAATTGTTGTGTATGGCTAGCCAATCTTTTCTTCTAATAAAACACACACACAAGTTTACAATTCATACCTTATACATTCCTTATTGTAATTTCTGAATTGAACAATTCACAATATGTCGATAAAAGAAAAACAAGAATACAAATATCATAATATTTGTAACACCCAAAATTTTTGGATGTCACGGGTTTACAAAAACTTTTTAAACTTTAACTCTAATACCATTGCGAAATACAAATTAAATAAAACTCTATTTATTATAACTGAGTTCAAGAAAAACTTCATAAATCAAATGCAACTATAAAACGTTCATGGAATCTTGTTACAAAACTATTAGCCCTAAAATAAAAATCACTTAGTTCTCCCATATATCTCGCTGCTAAACTCCTCTTCAGCTACATCTGTAACAACATCTACTCTCGTACAAGTACGATCATCATAGGTGGAAACCACAACCATAACCACAACATGCAAGGGTGAGCTAACAGAAACGAGTCATATAAACATACACAAGTTTTAAACATCAACTCAGAATAATATCTCCGAATAATACATATAATCATAAATCTACATACATCTCAATACGTCATAAATCATCAAATCATTAACAAGTTTGAAACCATTACTATATATTGATTCACCACCGGGTTACTCACATACAACATAAGGTCGAGTGTCGCCTCCCATCACTCTATTAAAGAGTTTCACCAGGCCGGTACACTTCACCACCGGGTTACACAATCACACTTCCCACCACCCTTTGGAAGGCTTCACCGGCAAGTACACCACTTCCCACCACTCTCTTAGAGCTTCCCCGGGCAAGTATATGCTTTCCACCATCCTCTTGGGCTTCACTGGACAAGTATATACCCCCACCACTCTATTCAAGAGAGTTTCACCAGGCAAGTACCAGTGTTACTCCCACCACTCTTCCGAGAGCTTCACCGGGCACTACACACACACAAGTTTACAATTCATACCGTATACATTCCTTATTGTAATTTTTGAATTGAACAATTCACAAAATGTCGATAAAAGAAAAACAAGAATACGAATATCATAATATTCACAAAGATGTCAAGATGTATAAATCACAAATGACAAAATGGATATTTAAAAAAGTAGTAGTCTCTAAGGAAAATATATGGAGGTAACAATAAATGTTATCTCACACTTACTTTGGGAAAGAGATAAATGATCCAATAACATTTGAATTAAAATCTATAAAAAAGCACTTATACTTTTTGTCACTAAATCCATCCTAGTAAATTTCGATTCTAATAGGCATTGTTTCTCACTTTCCCCATGACAAATCATTGGCTCTGATACCACTGTTGAGTCTATTGAGGAGAATGTTCATCGAGAGACACAATACCAATGAGATATGGGTCCAACCATACAAGGGTTTGACACCACTCTCTAGCAAAAACCTTAAGATAATGAATTAATGGGTCTTTCATTTTTATATAGTGTTCTACTTTCTCATTTTTATCCAATGTGGGATTTATACTCACACTTGGATTCCAATATTCTCTAGGGTCAGAAGAATGTTTTGAAAGACATCGTGGTCTTGATCAACAAATTGCTTAGACGAATCTTTCATCTACTACTCATACTTTTTCAAGAAATCAATTTCGATCATCTACAAACAATAATCACAATGCTAAGTTCAGATCCAATAATAATCTTTGAAACTCAAGAAGGTGTAACAAGGGCATAGTACTTTAGGCTGCTGGTATAGGTATGAGCGATCCTCTTTGGTATCCTGAGAACGGTGCCACACATCACATGACTCTGGTGTGAACATCTCTCACGTTGGTTCTACAAAAATCGCTATTCCTCACACATACACTCACAAATCTTTCTTCATAATCTGCTTCATGTCCCTGTCATTATGAAAATTTTGTTCAGTGTTTCAAAATTTGCAAAAAAGATAATAATGTTTATTTTGAATTTCATGCTGACAAATGTTATGTGAAAACTAAGGCCACCAACATGATAATTCTGCAAGGAATTCTTAAGGATGGACTAGATGTTTTTCCTTCACTCACTAATACATCTTCACACGTTGCTCATACCGTTGAATGTGCTTCACCGAATACTCAATTTAATCTTTGACATAAAAGACTTGGTCATGCATCTTCTACTATTAACATCTTGCAATATATTTTGTAAAACAAAAATCTCTTTTGTGAATCTTATTTTAGCCAAATCTCATCAGTTTCGGTTTACTAAATCGTCTACTGTTTACGCTGCTCCTTTGCAATTAGTTTTAATTGATAATCTTCTGTTAGTGCTTCTTGGTATTATATATCTTTTCTTGATGCTTACACCCGTCATACTTAGATTTATTTATTAACTCACAAATCTCAAGCTATATTTGTGTTTAAGATGTTCAAAATTTTCTCTGAAAAACAATCAAATGTAAACTTAAATGCATAGAAACCAATAATGCAAAGGAATTCTTGTGTTTTTCTTTTGTTTTATGAGAATATGGGATCTTCCATTGTTTAACTTATCCATATCATGGGCAAAATGGTTCTAGCGAATGCAAACACAAACACATTATTAACGTTAGCTTATCTTTTATTGCTATTTCATCTTTACCTATGAAATACTGAGGAGAAGCTTTCACGCTATTGTCTACATAATAAACTTGCTTCCTACTCATGTCCTACAAAATAGGTTTCCATGAGTTGCTGTTTAACAAATTCCCTGCCTATGCTTTTCTCAGAACTTTTGGGTGCTCTTATTAGCCAATGCTTCGACCTTACAATTCTAACAAGCTAACCTTACTACATTTGTCTTGCACCATCAGGTAAAATATATATTTCTTGGAATGTTATTATTTTAAGGTGATTAATACATCATATGAATCTCATTCAGATCTTTAGTTTATTGAGCTTTTTTGAATCTGCTAAAAATATAATTATATGAGCCAGGTAGATAAAATCAATATATTCATTTTTTTTCTACTAAACATACAAGGAAATTTAAAAATTAAGGAATGTCCGAGCAACTGAAGTTACAAAAAATTCAACTTAAATACAGTGACCTTAATATCTAGCTTCTACGGAATAGCACCATGATGACTTGCAATAATATCTATCATTTTATTTTAATTTTGTAGGAAAAAGAAGTGCTCAGAAAATCCGGGTTCTTTTTCACTTTAAATCAGGGTAGTGATTGGGAAGAAATGCACTAGTGTAATCGGAATCAGCATTATCTGATGATTGTTCTTGCTCTGCAACAAGCATAAGCATCTCTAGTCGCTTGTCAAATTGCAAAGCACTCTCATCTCTCTTGTCAAGCTCAGCCGCTTCAATTGCAAGCCATTTCTCACGTAAATCATCAAGAAGATTTCCTTGATCAGTATTAAGAGAAGATCCAGGAATACTAGGGACAGTGGTACGAAGGGACGAGTCTCCAGATGGTGGAGGCAAAGTCAGCAACATTGCCCGGAACTCTTTACTATCAGCAAAAGTTTCAAAATTGCAAGCAATGGTGTCAAGACAATACTCCCGAATCTTGAAAACACCATACCTGGACAAGAACAAATATTCAATGGACACAACTAACTACATATTCACCATATAGCATAGAATAATGAGAACAAAGATAACTTATCCAGTGGGAAAATACGGAACATAGGTAATTCACAATAGCAGGACTTGTGACACTTCGCAGTTAGGACCAGGCAATCATTTAACAAAAATATAATTTTTCGTTACACCAATCTTAAATCCAATTAGTGCAGGGATGATAGACAAGATTAAACAAAATAAATGTCTTTCCATTCTCATATTTGTTCCCAAATTTTGTGCAGTAATAATTTCCAAAAGATAACGATCTTTAATTGATTCACTTTTGGTTCTCCCTTTCAAATTTCATCCTCCTCGTGATGCAAAGTGATATCTGACATCTACATTCTAAATTACCTAACCTACAAAGTTGAATAACCTATTTGGATAAATAGCTTAAATAAAGGGAATTCTAGAGTCTGCATTTTCAATTACCTACCAGCCCCCCTGTACTGTTTTCTTACTTCTAAATATATTTTCAGGTATTCTACAAACAGTTGATGTTAATTAGGATGTCAACCAAATTAGGATAGTAATCAACATAGTGATGTTTTTGCAAACCTATTTTCATCGGAAAAATAAAGGATTTTAGTCAAGTAGAACTTATCTTAATAAGCTGTACAAACAAACAGAAGTAGAGTCTAAAATAAACTTTAAGGCAAGTAGTACAGCATGAGATTTGAAAAGTATTGAAACAATCCTATAAATAACTTGAAAAAGATTAAAGTCAATGAGAAAATATTTTTATTGAATTGAATCTTAAACAGTAAATCAGCCTCTCTATATATAAAGAATGCTAACCCTAAAGTAAAGATTACAAAAAGATCTCTAAAATCTTCTAACAGCTTATAACAACACACTTGTAATTAATTACAATATCTTATTGTAGCTTATCAACTATATTTTCTCCTTAATCATCAAAATGTAACAAAAACATAAGAGTCAACGAAGAATTTCTTCCCATGAAGCACAAAAGTTTCTCCTATTTGAAGTGTCACAATGCAGAACACATTTTCAACACCAACACCTGTCAGTGACTAGTGTTAAACACTTCTCATTAAGTGTCCAATAAAAAGATTATCTTTTCAGCTTGAATACTTCAGTCAACACCTCTACATAGTTCAATCCATAGGAATGGACAACAAAAGATGCCTTATCCCGCAAGCCACAGTGATGTCAGCTACATGGATCACATGAAACAATTTGTTTTAACCATGTTATTGGTATATATTACTTATTGCCGAAACCAATGACTAATATCATCAAAGACCTTGAGCGCACACAGGGTAAGTATTGTCCTCCTAACATTTACTCTAAGAGGCTAAACAGATATTATTTACCATAAGGTCTCTCTAAATTTTATATTTCCTCCAATATCTTTCTTGGTTAGACTCTTTTTACAGGGCTAAACAAAGGAAGATATAGTCCTCACTGGTGCACACACTAATGTTATTGAAAATATATTTATTTCAATCTTCTACAAAATTCAGGTTAAAATATAAAAAAAAGCAACCCCTCTTCTGTAGTTATCATAGAAAAGACTTAGAAAGTAAGTTTGAGAAGGTAAATACACCATTTATCCTCTTATTTTTGTAATTTTTGTAATGTAGTATGTTGTTTCATTGTAATGTCTACTAATATTCTTTACTGAGGCTCAATATTATAAGAAAAAGATAGATATACATGAATATACAAATATTGATTATCAGTTTAAATATTTCATTGTTACACATTTCATTTCAGTTAGGTGATTGTGCACGGTGTAATAGTGCCTCACATTTTATATATTAATTGCGCAAGAGTGTTTATGTCTATGTTGGAGTTCATGTTTCGTAGATCCCATCCGTCCTTTCATGCAAATATCAATGAAATAATTATATTGGTATGCATTAATATAAAATGGAGGGAGATTGGCAGAAAAGCAAATACATGTCTGCTAGTATTAACCAATGGCAATGTTCATCAAGTGAAACCATTTCCAAGTGTGGCAACAAGACATCAGCGACTGCACGCTTGAGAGGAAACAATAAATATCTAGAAGCAACATCAAACATTTCTTCAGCCTGTTCAAAACATATTAATATTAGATGACAGAGGGACAAACCACTATCACATAAGTTATATGGGTGTATACAAACCTGATCTGGATTTATGTCCTGCAAACGATCAGTGTACCTGGTCCAACAAGGGACAATTCAATCCATGAAAATATCTTTTTGAACGGAAAATTGATGTTATATATAATACAAACTACATTATTAAAGAAACTTCATCAAGGTAAACGCACTCCAGACACTAAAAAAGGCAACAAAAGCATAAAACAATACAATACATAAATGACCTAGCACCAAAAGCAATCTTCATAAAACTAAAGCAATATAAACAGGTTTTATTAATCAATCTCAAACTAATTGGACTCAACCAGAACACTACTTAAGAAACATCCAGTATGAATACAACAATTGATTTTGTTTGTCTATCTAGTAATAATTCCTACTTTCAATTTGTTTTGGCATGCCAAAAGTCTCACATTACCTAGTAGTCAAACTAAAAGCAATTTATAAATAACCTCCTTTCTAAGCTCAATAAGATGTAAATATTTCAGATATGGTGATTAACTTTAACAATGTTATCTTATCGAACTCAAGTTGCAACCCAACTACACACACACACACACACACACACACACACACACACATATATATATATATATATATATATATATATATATATATATATATTAAAAAAGGTGAATCTCTAGACATAAGTATGCAATATCCTCATTGTAAAGCATTTAAGTCACATATAAATCAGACAAACCAGACTCTATAGAATATCCTCAGCTTACCATGGCAATAGTGCCACATGAAATCCCTCAAATATTTTCAATTTTCAATTTCCACATTTTATATCGAGGGAAGAAACTTACATATATTCAATCATTTTCTCAAAGGCTTCCTTGCTTAAGTCATGTTCTTCTACACAAGGAAGAGTGTCAACAGATAAGTCATGTTTCCCCTCATTGAAGTTCTTCATATGTGATAATCTTGCTCTGAAGTATTCTGACCTGGATGCTAGAATAACTTGATGACAGCGGAAAATATTTCTATCAACTTTTACACAAACATCAGCAAGATCATCCACAGATTTGGCCATCTGCATGGCATCCATCATAGAAACCAATTTATCTTCTTGACCACTTTCATGGGTTGAATTTGAAAGGGCAGTCAGAAGGATTCGATGCAAGGCAGCAGGAAGCCTGTCTTCTTCAGGAAGGGATAGACCTTGTAAAATATACCGTTTCTGAGAATTATCTACATTTCCCAACGATTTATAGTCTGCATATTTTTGATGAATTAGTTCTTTCTCAATAACTTTATGCAGTGATTCACATCTGCATACTTTGCAGATTCTCACAAGATCCTCCATATCATCAATGGCAATCTCTAATCTGTCTGAATAAAAGAAGTGTACAAGGCTATAAAGTGCAGGATATGACAATTTTTCCTTTGAGAATCTAACTTCATTGCGATCCTTCCAATCAGTAGTAAACTTTTTCTTGAAAAATGGTGATCTTGCACTTAATATGACTCTGTGAGTTTGAATACGTTTTCCTTGTACAATAAATACTACATCTGGAGGGAAGTGGCAGCAAATGGACCCCTGAGTGGATGAAACACCTATTCAATCATGATAATATTGAGTCCCAGCCTATGTATGCAGACATCATTATTTTTTTGGGAAAAAAAATAAAACAATTGCTACAACCAATGACATCATGATAGAGATCCAAGGCCTATCAATAAATGCTTGGTAAGAATAGGAAACCTTTATTTACTATGAAATAAATGGATGAGAAGTAAAAGAGAAAGAACTTCCAATTGAGTTCCCTTGTAAACAAGGGATTCACCTTCCTGATTATGCAGGCAAACTAGAATGCCCAATTTCCTCTCTCAGTTCTGCCGACCTCCTATATACAGTGGCTCCCTTCCTCTCTTTTCCTAAGGATATAGATATAGATAGACGACTGTAGAAAGATAACTAACTTATTCCTGTTTTCTAAATAAACAAAAATAAAAAGGATAACTTACTTATTCCTACTTTTCTAGGTAACAATAAATACAAGGATAATTAACTTATTCTTATTTTCAAGGCTTTCTTATGAAAGTAAACCTGAGTTATAGGGGGATGTTTCCTAACACAACTTCTTTACAAGTCAATTAAGAGTTTTAGCAGTTCAGTTCTAAATCTGTATTATTCAAAGTCTACCTCTAGCATGCCTAGCAAACAGTGAACCTACTTTTTAAAAGCAATTATTTCTCCAAAACACGCTCTATCAATCATATGATAGGTATTTTACCAATTCAAGAATCATTTTTATCCTTCCATGTATTTGATAAGTTAATTATATCTAGAAACCAATGTAAATATACCAGTTGATTATGTTAAATATATGATTTACCAACATTAAATAGGGTGATATAATATGATTTCATACAAAAATATCTTACAAAATATTTTCCATCAGTAGATACTGATTTTTTTCCTTATTATTGTATCTCTTCTTCACTATAAATAAGAATATTCATGTGTATTAAAATCAAATTCAACCTAATGACTGACAAGTACGTCTAGTTCAGACAACATGGGTAATTCACACTAAAAGTACTCACAGCTTCCACCAAGGGACAGCTTACAATGTAGAAGAGATAGGCAATATATAAATACAAGGACCCAAAGACATGTTGTCTTAAGATTTTGGGTTGAGAGTGGTGTCATGTTCTTTTGTATAGTTGGCTCATGACTAATTTCCTGTACATATTCTCATTTATTGATCCCCCTTTAGTAGAACCTATCCACCACTGGCTCTCGAACAATGCTCGAGATTTTTAATTCTTGGTGAGACCGTTGGAGATCCCACATTGGTTAGAGATATAGTTAAATTGTAGCATATAAGTAGGTGAACTTCACCTTGCAAGCCAGTATCATGAGGTTGAATTAGGTCTAGAACCACACTTTCTAAAATTAGTATGAAAGTTAATCCAATGTCATTGATTAAACCACACAATTCAGGCAGTTCAACATAAATAGTGTGTAAAATAACAAATTCAAGAATTCAGAACAGGAGCTAAGTAAAATTTAATGAAGTAAATTCACTAATACAGGTTATATCACGCATTGTTTCTTTTCTACTTAGCATTACAATTTTGTTATCATATTCCCATTCGAAGTGGAGGACTCCTCTCATAGAAAATTTTGTATCCCACAAATCTGACTGTTAAGAACCTGAGATCAAAATTGTCATGAGATATGATTAGATTACATTGATAGAGATATGATTTGATAAGTGCATATCTTACCAAATATTTCACATTATTAGATATTGATTGTTCCTTATTATTGTATCTTTTCTTTATTATCAATAAGAATATTCATGTGTGTACACAACACACAAAATTCATTATATTCCTTCTCAGTTTCTTTCTCCTCATCATGAAACTAGAGCGGTATTATCCTCCTTGACTTGTTCCATCACTAATTTTCAACAAAAACTTCTTCAATGGATCACATATACTTCAAAGCTAAACACGAAATCAATTTGGAGAGTTAATGGAAGGTTTGTTCGGGGAGTTTGTGTAACCAGTAAAATATGCCAAATTTTGTGACCAATCTAGATAACATTTAAGTGGTGGAGCAACTCACTTTTCTGAGAAAGAAAACACAAGACAAAGTGTAGCTGAAGCCAGGATATCCCATTTGATCTCTTTCCCTACGTGATTGAATTTCCCATTGAACTTCACTCTCACCTCAAACCCTAGTGCAACCTGCATTTGTTGTTGCTGGGTTGTCTGGGTTTAACTGGCTGATCTCAGTTATGGCTGAACTCTTCTCTCCCACAATCTTGGTGAGTGATAACTGGCTTGTTTTCTATTCAGTGTTTGATGTTTCTACATTATGTCCATGTAACTGTGCCCCTGTTTTAATGATTTGATGCTGTTTAGGTTTAACTGTAATTAAACTCTAGTTTTTCTGGTCTGAAAATGTCAGCTTGGGGCTGGTGGTAGGTGAAATTTCCCTTTGGTTGTGGATATTTTGCCTATATATGTCAACCTAGATGCTAGCATACTGGTTTGCATTTTCAATATGATTTTGTATTTAGGTAGGATATTACATTATGTTATAATTACATGTTTTACACGTCTTCCTTGAGTGTGCACAAACCAACAAATAAATAAATAAATCCTACGCTGCGTCAAAACCTCTCTATCTGAGTGTATCACTATCATTGTACAACAAAAATTAATCAATACAGCGCATTCCAAATTCTTGCAAACTTCTTGATCTATAGTTATGTGAATATTGCATGCATTACAGGTACTTGAACCCAGTAATTAAATTTTCACTTGAAAAATGCTTCACTGCTATGCAGGCTGAATTATGCGGAAGGGTGGAAAAAATTAGTAGTTTACACCCTAAACCTAGAGTCTATACAAGTGTGAAATGAAATTGGATAGTAGAGTAGCATACAAGCGAGGAAGGTGTCACGCAAAGCAGCCTGTAAGGGTTCCAAGGGCGGTGGCCGCGCCTCAAATGCCTTAAGGAGTTTCCGGACCTTGAGATTGAGGGCGGCATAGTGGCAGCGGTCGCCATCAAAGGTGTGTTCGGAGCAGATGGCGCCGTTTTCGAGGAGCATTCGAGCAGCGTCGAGGTGGCCGACCAAGCAGGCGTAGTAGAGGGCCACCGAGTCCCACTGGTCCCGCGCGTTGACGTTCACGCCTGTCTCCAGCAGGTACCGGAGCCGCTCCACGTCGCCAGCGCGGGACGCCTCGAATATGTCACCGTACGGCACCTTCTTTACTGGCACCGACGCCTCCACCTCCACATCCACTTCCACCTCCACCTCGTCAACCAATGTCATCGTATTTTTTGTGACTCAACTCAACTGTTCGATGGATGCTGCTTTGACTCTGCTTTCGCTCGAGTTCCACCGAAACCAGAGAAAAAAAATAAAGGTTTTTTTTTTAATTTTTAGTAAATTATACTCTCAACTAATCACACATGTGCTTCTCCTTTTTTTTCTTTTACCTTTTTTTTCTTTTATACTTTTATTATTTTTATTTAAAAGAAATTAATAAAGGTCAAAACTATTATTTTATACAGATTTATAAATAGTAAAGTGTAAGATAATATTTGACGATTAATAGTTTATAATTTAAATAATAATGCATATTTTCAAAACAATATTATTATGAGTTAAGTATTTTTTATTATTGGTTTTTCATAATTTAAGAATATTGAATAGATTTCGTTTTTAATAATATATGATATGTTTAATAAAATAATGTTATTAGATTTGATATAAAAAAAAGTATATAAACATTAATTTAAGAGAAGATTTAAATATGTTCAAATATTATGTAGATATTGAATATTTTAAAAACTATAAATTTGAAGATACAAGGAAAATAAACAAAGAATATATATATATATATATATATATATATATATATATAAATGAATTACAAACAGTTTAATATTATGATTTTTTAATTTATTAAGGCTTTATGCAAACTCTTGATAAATGATTTTATTGTTGTATATCTCAAAATGCCTTAATATCCTATACTATGAGTTTTGATAAGTAAATTTATTACTTTGTGGTTCTTGTATTTTATACTAATTATGGTTTTAAAATATGTTTAATAATAATACCTTGGAATATATAAAAGTAAATATGCAAACTAGATTTCACACCAAATGCATCTGCATCAACATTTGGAAAGCAAAGACTTCTATGCAAAGAAAGTCAGTAAAATGTTTAAATTGTAAAACAACATTCAATTGATATTTACTAATTTCACTTTTGATGGTTAAAGTTGACCAATGGTTTCTTGGTTTATAAGCGGTCACTTTGTACTCACTAAATCTCAATATGAATTTATTGGTGTAATGTAGTTTTTGAAGAAGAATGAATAGAACTTGTAACAAATGCTAGGTTTATAGTAGAGGGAGTTTAATGAAAAGACACATCATTAATGAGATCTAAATTCAATCATATAAAGGATTAACACCACTCTCTACCCAAAATCTTAAAATAATGGGTTAATTGGTCTTCACCTTTATATGTTGCTCCACTTTCTCATTTCTACCTAATATGTGATTTGGACTTACTTGGATTCTCAACAATTCTCTCCCTCAAGGGTGATACCACTTAAATAAATGACACAATAATTTAATGTGATTCAGCGTACAAATGCTTACGTCCACAATTATAGTAGGAAGTATATTTATTTTGGTGTATCTTTCAACCTTTACAAAGGGTTGCTTATATAGCTTAATAGAGAACAACATCTCACAGTATTAAGCGATGTGGGACTAAATTAAGCTCTACAATACTAATAATTCTCTCACTTGAAGCTTGATTTACATTATCTAGTTGCATTCATCATCAATTACTCTTGAAGGCCAGTTGAGGCAATACAAAGCCTCAACTCATTTGTTGTGATAGTCTTGGTCAACATATTAGCTGGATTCTCTGCACCTGTAATCTTCGACAAAGACAAGTCTCCAGGTTTCTAATAAAATGATACTTCAATTCAATGTGCTTGCATATAGAATGAAGAACCGGATTTTTAGCAAGATATGTAACACTTTGACTATCACTGAATAATGAAGGGTCATCTTGCTTTTTTCCTAATTTTTTTAGAAGGTTCTTCAACCATATTATCTCCTTCGCTGCTTCTAAGATAGCTACATACTCAATTTCAGTGATTAAGAGGGAGACTCTTCCTTGACTTCCAACTGATAGTTGTACCACCCAACATAAAATGTAACTTGTTGTGCTTTCTCTACCATCCATATCTCCTCCCAAGTCTGCATAATAGAACCCTTGTAAAGTGAGATTGCTGCTTCTAAAAGACAAATTCATATTTGAAGTGCCCCTCAAATATCTCAATATCCATTTCACACCTTCCTAATGCTCATTTTTGGAATTTGATATAAACCTACTCATAAATTGTAATACATGTGTTATGTCAGGTTTGGTGCAAACCATAACATACATCAAGCTTTCTACTCCAGATGTATATGGCACTTTAGACATGTAAGATTCTTCTTCATCTGTTTTAGAAGATTTTCCTTTTGAAAACTTTAAGTGAGTTCCCAAAAGGTGTATTCTTGGTTTTAGTATTTCCAACATTAAATCTGCTAAGCAATTTTCATATATATTTCTCCTGACATAAGTTCAAAATACCTTCAGATCTATCCTTAGAAATTCTCATACCAAGAATTTGTTTGGTTGAGCCAAGATCCTTTATTTCAAAATTTTCTGACAATTGTTTCTTCAATTTGTTAATTTCCGTCATATTAGCTCATGCAATCAACATGTCATCAACATATAAAGCAAGGATGATATAACTATCAATATATTTTTCTCACATAACGATAATGATCTTCTTCACATATGTGAAAACCTAAGTTTCTCATAAACTCATTAAACTTCTTGTACCATTGTCTCGGTGCCTATTTTAATCCATACTAGTTTCTATGAAGCTTGCATACAAGATTCTTCTTGCCTTGTGCTTCAAAACCTTATGGTTGTGCCATAAAGATTTCCTTCCCCAAGATCCCCATGTAGGAATGCAGTTTTGACATCTAACTACTCTAGATGAATATTTCCTGCATCTTCTATACTCAAGATAACTCTAATGGTAGTCATCTTAACAATAGAAGAGAAAATTTATGTGAAGTCAATACCCTATTTATGTTGGAAACCTTTTACTATGAGTCTAACCTTATATCTTCTATTACTGCTTAGTTCTTCTTTTAACCTGTAGACCCATCTGCTTTGAAAAACCTTCTTTCCTTCTGGTAGCTTGGTTAAAGACCATGTTTTATTCTTTTGAAGAGACATTATCTCATATTTCATTACTACGTCCCACTTAACATATTCATCTCCCTACATAGCCTCAACAAAATGCTCTGGCTCACTATTATCAATCAATAATTAATGTAATGAAGGAGAATACCTTTGTGGTGCTACAATTGTTTTGCTAGATCTCCTAATCATGACTTAAGGAGTTTCTAACTCTAGTATGTGTTCTGGTTTTGTCTCAAGCTCTACCTATGTATTCTGTATTTTGTTCACTACATCACTCTCTAAAATTTCTTCTAATGATACTTGCTATGGCTGTGCATTTACCAATTATGTAGTCTTGTCTTTATAGAACATGTTTTCATTAAAAGGAACATTTTTACTTTTGATAATTTTCTTATTTTGGTCATCCCAAAATTTGTAGTCATACATGTCAAATCCATAGCCAATGAAATAACATCATTTTGCCTTAGGGTCCAATTTATCTATGTTATTAGAGTCCAATAAAATATATGAAGCACAACCAAAGACTTTCAAGTTTGAAAGACTTACCTAATTTTCAGACCACACCTCTTCAGGTAACTTATAATATAAAGGAACAGATGGTCCTCTATTTATAAGATACCCAAAATACTTGGGTAGTCTTAACTAGATTCTTATACATCTTGCATTCAAGGTTCTATTCATTCTTTCTGCCATATCGTTTTGTTTACATGTTCCTAGAATTGTCTTGATCATTCTAATCCTGTTATCTGAACAAAAATTCTTGAATTCACCATGGTCATATTCTCCACCATTATTAGACTTCAAACATTTAACATTTAAACCTGTTTGAGCCTTAACCTCTTTTTTCCACCTTTTAAACACTAAAATGGCATTAGATTTATTCTTAATAAATTATACCCATACTTTTCTTGTTGAATCATCAATGAAGGTTGCATATTATTGTGAACCGCCAAGGGATTTCACTGGAGTTAGCCCTTAAACATCTGTATGCACCAATTCTAGTCTTTCAACTTTAGACATCTTACATGTTTTGGAGAAGCTAACTTTTTTTAGCTTTCCAAAGATATCATGTTCACAAGGTCCAACATCAACATGTTTCATTTCTCACTCATATGCCCAAGCCTTTGATGCCACAAAGAGGAACTATTGCCAACTTCTGCAATTGATATCATATCCTCATATGCAATTGTGTAAAGATATCCTTGCTTCTTTCCACGAGCAACAACAAGATTTCTTTTCATTTCCTTCCAATATCCATTTTCAAAAGTGGTGTAATTTCTCTCATCATCCAACTACCCTATAGATATTAAGTTTCTCTTTAAGGCAGGAATATGTATGACATTATTCAAAGTCCACACACACTTCCATTAGAGGTTCTAATGTTAATTAATATCATCTATTCCCACAAAATCAAGAGATTTTCCATCTGCAAGGTAAATCTTTCCAAAATTTCTAGAAACATAGTTAGATAATAATAATTTTAAGGAAGGTGTAGTATGAAATGATGACCCTAAGTCCATAATCCATGAGTCAATGGAACTTAACTACATAATAATGCAGCTGCTATTTCATTTGTTGTTGCATTAGCTGATTGATCATAATTTCTAGAAACATAGTTAAATAAAACGTCTACAGGCTTTATTAACCCTTCCCCCCCCCCCTTCTAGACCCACATTATCTAAGTAGACAGAATAAACAAGGAAAATATGTTGTTAATCATCCACCAACATATGGCAAGAATAGATAATTTATTGTGTAGGAAAAGTTGTTTGAAATAAGTAACGTCTAGTAAAGAAGCATCTTACAACGTCTAAAGCCAAAAGATGAAGTAATGCTTTCTAGATCAAACTGATTAAATGAATTAGAAAATCATAAACAACGTCTAAGCATAAGTGTCTCTCATCTAGATCTCTCAATATATAAGCAAAATAAGCTAGCCTCTTATGAAAATAGAAGTCCAACTCTTAAGCACAAAAGAAATGTTTAAATAAAAATAGTATTATATCAAGCAAAGCTTTCTATAGAGAATATCATCTAATAAGTGATCACTAAACTCTTTAGCCTTGAGAAAACATCTTATGATTATACCATCTGATGAATATA